TGCTTGGAGACAGTATTATTATGATATATATAATATATCATTAGTGCGCAACCTAGTGGGCTTTAACAAGTTTTATACATCCAAATAATTTCTATTACATCCAGACCAGTCTAATTGAGACCTGTCTTTATTTGTCAAAATATGCAGCCAAAATATGCAGCCACACCAGGCTAGTAAAGGAGACCTGTGTCTGGGACCCTACCTTTTAAGTGTTATGGTAGGCCTGTAGTTCATTTCTCTTTCCATCCCACTCCTCTTGCCTCTTGCTCACACATAATTTCCTTGCTGTAATAACCTGTAGCTGTCAATCGAGATATTAGCTGTTCTCATCAGCTGGTTGCATCTGTTCAATAGCACAGTGACACACCTGCATTGTTAGCATATCATCTTACTGCTGTCTTTTTAAATATGATTCTCTCTCTGCCTTCAGTTCATCCATGCTGCTTTTATGCGCACCTCTCCACTCCCCATCTACTAGTCAACTAGGAAAATCTTTAGTCGGAACAGCCCTACAGTCATCATTGGTGTGGTTGGCTAGTTTCACATGAAAAGAGGGATCAAGTATTCGGTGATGAACATTGCACAATTGTGGAGATGGCTAAATTGAACTTAACAGTCTAACCTTTGGTTTTTGTCTTGGTTTTTCCAGGACAAGGTTTGGAGACAGAAATAGTCTGCTGACACTCCACATTATACAGAGCCTTCTTCAACGTCCCTGTTCTGGTCTGCGAGCCAGAGCTTGGATCACACTCTCCCCAACCACCAAACCGATACTTGCAGTCAGCTAGAAGAAAGAGAGAGTGGGAAAGAGAGAGAGAGAGACAGAGAGACAGAGAGAAGATATATGAGCAGATAATTAATTGTGTTCTTTAGAATAACAACCTGTCTGACCTTTCCACTGTTAGATCTGGTATACCTCAAGGTTTCATCCTAGGTAATCTTTACCTGTATAAGTTACCACAAGGTGATATTATTTTATTTATAGTCATTTTTTGTCAAAATTGTTTTTTTTTGCCTAAATCATCTCCTTGTGACGCCGGCCACCTATGGTAAA